AGATGACTACATTTACTCTCTCTGATCAAAAGGGAAAGCAGAATCTACCGGGCTGGGTGCTACAGGATTCATGCTGCTTCTCAGAGGTCTAACTCAAGAGTTTTAAGCTATATTTCAACTAAAAAAAAAAAAAAAAAGGCTTCTTACCTTGTAGCTCTCACTTGCTTGCTGAGTCGTTATTAAAAAGGGTAATAATTTGGAATCACAGACCTTATAAATCACTGTAACTAGGTTTTGAAAGAGGAAATTGAGCACAAAGCTAATTAGTCAATTACTCTTAATCCTAAAATTCAGTTTCTCATCCTTTTGTGCTCTCATTTGGTGTTTCTCATTGTTTAATTAATGGCCTGTACTGTCATTAATGTTATCTTGTTCTTAAGCAAAGAACCACTAGCGTGAAGAAAGGAGGTAAGCAGTGGTGGCTCTCGATGATTTGTTCTTTTTTTTTTTTTCCTGTCATGGGGCTTGAACTCTGGGCTTGGGCGCAGTCTCTCAGCTCTTCAGCTCAAGGCCAGCGCTCTACCACTTGAGACACAGCACCACTTCTGGCTTTTTCTGTTTATGAGGCGGTGAGGAATCAAACCCAGGGCCTTATGCATGCAAGGCAAGCACTCTACCACTAATCCACAGGTTTCTTTGTTCTTGCCTACCCTCTTGCCTTTACTTCACAATCTAAAGCAACACAGAAGGTACATGTGTTACATAGGAGATTGTATAAACATTTGTGTGTCCTACTTCAGTGCCTCCAAATGGTAGGAATACATTCCATGACTAGTAACAGAAAGCACCTTCAATTTTTATTTTTTTACCAGTAGTTTGAACCCAGGGCTTGTACCTGCTCTGCAGGCTCTCTCCTACTTGGGCTATAATACCCCCAAGCCTGAAACCTTGTATTTTTGCCTTTCTGTTTTCTTTTTTTTTTTTGGGTCCGGCTGTGGGGCCTGAACTCTGGGCCTGGGCACTGTCCCTCAGCTCTTCAGCTCAAGGCTAGTGCTTTACCACTTGAGCCACAGCACCACTTCCGGCTTTTTTCTTTTTGCTTATGTGGTGCTGAGGAATTGAACCCAGGGCCTCAAGCATGCAAGACAAGCGCTCTACCACTGAGCCACCTTCCCAGCCCCTGCCTTTCTGTTTTCTAAATGCTAGGGTTACCTGAACTTCTATAGTCTAAGGTAGAGAGAAGAAGGAAGGAAGTATCTGAAATTATTAGGTATAATTCTCAGAGCCCAGATTTTCTAGCTTTGGTATTTCTCTGTCCTTAGTCTGCTTTTCTTCTTCCTTCTCACCTTGAGGAATGATTTCAATTACAGACTGCTTATTAGAGAGCACAAGAATTAATTTCTGGCCTATAAATATATTAGAGCGCTAACGTTAAATGGAATGGAGAATTTCCACTGACACATTAAACAAATGCGTGGAGAGAGATGGGGAATAGGGAGAGAGAAGGTGAGAGGAAGAGGAGAAGAGAATATGATTTCTCAGCCGCTTAGGGTGAGAGCTAAATTCAGAGACGTCAAAAGAAAAGTCTGCAACTGAGGATCAAGTCTATCCTGCTGACGACATGCATTATGTTGCAAATACAAAAGCTGATGTGAGTTATGCCTGTGGATTTCAACACTTCCCAGAGTAAACACCTCAATGGTGGTCTCCAAAAGTATGAAGGCAGAACTCTGGCTGAAACAAACAAACAAACAAAGCCCCAACAACAGGGGCTGGGAAAATGGCTCAGTGGTAGAGTGCTTGCCTTGCATCCATGAGGCCCTGGGTTCGATTCCTCAGCACCACATAAGCAGAAAAAGCCAGAAGTGGTGCTGTGGCTCAAGTGGTAGAGTGCTAGCCTTGAGCTGAAGAGCTGAAGGACAGTGCCCAGGCCCAAAGTTCAGGCCCCACAACTGAAAAAAACAACAAACAACAAACATAAAAAACACAGTCTTGGGCTGGTAAGGTGGTTCAGTGGTAGAGCGCTTGCCTTGCATGCATGAGGCCCTGGGTTCGATTCTTCAGCACCACATAAGCAGAAAAAGCCAGAAGTGGTGCTATGGCTGGAGTGGTAGAGCACTAGCCTTGAGCTGAAGAGGTGAGGGACAGTGCCCAGGCCCAGAGTTCAGGCTCCTTGACCGGCCAAAATAAAAACAAACAAAAAAAACCCCCAAAACCCAACAACAAAACCCAGTAAGGCTGGAAGTATGGCTCTAATGGTAGAGCCTCTATGCAGCAAGGGCAAAGGCCCTGAGTTCAAAGCCCAACTGAAGGCTACACTTGATTTGTTGACAATATTTTTACTCTTTAAATCAAGAGGATCAAGTGGTACAGTGTCAGCTATGCAGGGATCTCATTAAAGTTTACTCTATATATCAGAATGGTGGGAAATGGCCTTTTAACTACATTCTGATCTCAGCCCACGCTTGTAAAAATCTGAGCCGGTTGTGGCAGAATCTTAGCAGCTGTACTTAGTTGGGGGTGGCACTGGGGGCCCATCCCTGGAATTGTGTGTCTCATCAGAGATCCATTCCCTTGCTTCCTCCTTCCCAGGAGAAAATGGAGAAAGAGGGCTGAGTAACATTGAAAAATTCTGTATCACAAGAAGCATTTCTGGCATTATGAGTGTGAGACACTAAGAAGGGCCATCAGAGGTGAACACTTCTCATTCAATAGGCAGACAGTTGTGAGGAAAACAGTGAAACACACTTTTAACATCTTAGCATGCTCCCATAACTGGCAGCTCTTCATGTATCATTATCATTTTGAGGTGGTATGCATTTTCTTTCTCTTATAAAATGTTAAGCTCATCAATATTGCTTGGAAGTATGAATAGATATATTTCTCAGTTTTGTAATTTCTGCAGTTTTTCCTCTCCGAAAGGGAACAAGTTAACTAGAGATATTATATAACGGGACTCAGAGGCTGTGATAGCTAGAGATATTATATAACGGGACTCAGAGGCTGTGATTGCTAAAGGTACTGACAATAGAGGCTGCAGATGTGTGATGGTTAACTAAGGGAAGGATAAACGCTTGGCATCTGTGCCTTCATTCTGCACCTGTCTTCCTTGCTGTCAAAGTTTGCATCGGATTCCCGCTCAGCTCTGCAGGTAGGTAAGTTAATTACTGAAGCAATGTTTTTCCCAAACTAGTAATCACACTTCATCCTCAAGACACAAAGATAAGAGTAACCTGGACCAGTGGACGGGACTTGGACATCACCAGCCATTACCCTAAGCCTACAGGAACTAACTCCATCTGGCCTGTCTGACGTGTTTCTTTTTCTCTAGGCCAGTCCCTCCAGCAGTCACCTTGGGTTCCAAGACTAACAGGTATTACGGATAAACATCTCATGAGAAGAGTTCAAACTATTCTCCAGGCAACAGCAACTTCCCTTTTCCCCACAAAACCCATCCTTACGTAACAATCAACCACACTATAGCCTAAGCTTCCTTGTTGGGTCAGCTATGCAAACCTGCAACCCATGCCTTCATTCTGCTTTCTATAGAACCTTAAGAGTTCTTGTCAGGTCCCCAAAGAAAGATCTCAGGTCACTTAGACCTCCTCTCCTGCTCTCACCACTTGCCATTTCTTTGATTGACTGGCTTGATGTCTGGCTTATCCAGGTCTGGTAGGACCCCTGGAACTGGCACTTTTCCCTAAAATTCTGCTAGCCAAGTTAATATCTGTGAATCAACAAATGAGACACACATAAAGGATTCGTTTTGTTTTTGCAAAAATGGTAAGTAGACATGAATGAAATCATCACAACAAACTAAAGTAGGAATGGTATTGCTTTACACTTCAATGCCACTAGAAACTAAAAATGTGCAACAGGACAGTATGCACAAAACACACACTGGTTAACAGACACCTTTTTTCCCTGCTCATAGAAGATGTTGTGTTATCTTGTCATACTGAGGATTAGACTCAAGCCCTTGTACATGCTAAGTAAGCACTCTCCCACTGAGATATGTAACTAGCCCTTGGGTTTTGGAGACAAGATTCTCTCTCTGTAGTTCAACTTGCTATGTACCTTCGAATGGCCTCAAACTTGTGATCTTCCTGCTTCTGCTTCTTGAATGCTGGAATTACATAACATCCAGCTCAAATGAATCTGTTGTTGGGAGGGGGGTTATACTGGGGATTAAACCCAGGGTCTTGCACATGCTAGGTAAACTATCACTTGACTTTTAAGTTGGCTACATAAACACAACTTTAATAAATTACTATGCAGCATTTAAGACTGCATAAAAGGGTATAAAAATGAAAAATACTTGATAGATTAGATTTGCCACCGAGATATGAATACGAAGAGAGCATTGCTAATACTATTGAAGCTCTCTGAATATCTTTGCTTACATCTCTCTTCTTTCCCCAAGGGTAGCCACCATTCTGAACATTCCATCTGCTTGTATCCCTGTATTTTTCTGTTCTTTTTTACTCTAGTATTGGGACTTGAATGCAGGGCCTCAAGCTCTTGCTTAGTTTTTTCTCTCTCAAGACTTTTTGGTGGCTAATTTAAAAAAAATTTGCCTTGGCTGACTTCAAACCATGATTCTCAACATCTCAGCCTCCTGAGCTGCTAAATTTATAGGTGTGAGAGGATGGTTTAAAACCAGTCTGCCTGGCTCTAAAGTCTTTGATTCTCACTGACTGACCTGAGATCATTCCTGGTGTAGAATGTAAAATGCTTAACAAAAATAATTTGTCTTATAATTTTTTTTTTTTTTGTCAGTTGTGGGGCTTTAACTCTGGGCTTGGGCGCTGTCCCTGTGCTCTTCAGCTCAAGGTGAGCGCTCTACCACTTGAGCCACAACATCACTTCCAGTTTTCTAGTGGTTTACTGGAGATAAGAGTCTCACAGACTTTCCTGTCTGGGCTGGCTTTGAACCGCGATCCTCAGATCTCAGCCTCCTAAGTAGCTAAGAATACAGGCGTAAGCCACCGGCACCCAGCTTTTTAAATTGTTTAAATACCTTTGGAGACTTCTTAGGACTTAAAATTGTTGGGACTTACCTTGATCACCTCTGGGGTCTGCTGAATCAAAACCATGGAAGAAGTATCATTGGCTTTATCACCCACAGGACTTCTGCAGACTGACAGACTGGCCTGGGAGGAAGTTGTCAAGGTTTCCTGTAGAATTTGCATCATTTCCTTTTCTTGAGACAGGCTCCCTCTACCTGATTTGCATTCAACGAGTTCTTGAGCAAAATCTTCAATGCTTTCCAGGATTCTCAGTAAGAGAGCTCGATCTTCTTCCTCTATTTTGTGTCCATTGGTTTCAATAATCCTTGTTAGGCAGGAAGGTGAGACTTTTTCTGTGGCTGAAGAGCCTTTCAATTTAAGGTCCACATCTGTAGGGATCGGACTAGTCACATGACCGTGACTACTTAGAGAAGTAAGGTTGTTATCCTGGGCAAGTGGCTCTTTTAGAGAGGTCTCCATCTTCTGTGAGAATGATTCCAAATCCAGTAACAATTTATCAATCTCTTCCTGACTGTTAGGGTTCATAAAACCTCTCTGGTCTCTCACTTCCACGCTAGGGACTTTTGATTTACAGTCTTCCTCAGGTAGATGAACAACTGGCGTCTCAAACACTTTACCGATATTATTTTGCACGGAGGCAGGGCTTTTTTGAAGGTGAAGACCATGGTCTGAAAATTCGGCTCTCTGTTTGTTCACCTTAAACAGCTCCTGACCAGGCCCATTCTCTGTCCTTTGTCCTTTGTCCAAGAATGCTTTCTTTCCATCTGACTCTTCTTCAATATAAAGAGTTTCCATTAAATCACCAGCAGAAATGTTCTCCAAAGGATTCGTGGCTGATTGAAGTCGGACAGCTTTGAGAGTTCTGGGATCATTTACCTCCAGCCTATGTAAGGAATTGGTAGAGTTGTTCGGAATGACTTTTACAGTGTCTGTTTTCCTAGAATTATGTGTGTCACCTTGCGATTCAATAGTGTGAAACTGTCCAGAGTCCGGACCTGACTGCTGGACAACATCTTCATATTTAGGGGGCTGTTCGGTGCCGTATATGGGAGAGAAGGGAGTCAGTTGTAAGCTAGGCACATTATTGACCAGTTCTGTTATATCGATGGTCTCATTATTCCCAGGCTGCATGAATTCAAATGGTAACTTCTTCAAGTAGGATGCTAACCTCGTCATCACATTCATATAGACAGTTTCAGAGGTAGAACTTGCATCGTTCCCACTCCCTTCACTCATGCTACCGCCTGGCTTTTTCTTTATGCACTGTTTTATGATGTCTGTGCATTTTTTCAGATCCTCAGAGCATTTCAGTAAGATGTCTAAGCACATTTTTATGTCTGTCCCAGGAGAGAAGTGATCTAGTTTGTGTTTTTCCAAAATCTGAGTTACCAGGTCTTCTTCAGAGAAGTTCTGGAGAAGCATGGAAGTCAGGTTTGTATCAAGTGAGTTTCGATGGGACAAAGACTTTTCCTCCAATGAGGAACTCCGGAGTAAGCCAAAGGCCGGGGAGAGCCCATCACTGTTATAATGGCCACAGAGCAGGTCAAAATCAACCGACCTCCTATTGAATGAGTCAGACTTCACTTTCCTTCCCTTTTTGTAAACGGCATGATGAGAGTTTTTGAGTTTTTCCAGGGAAAATTCTTTTATTTTGCCACTGGCAAAACTGATGGCTTCCCCGGCAATGTCCTTTAAATTACAGGTGTTCTGGAACGTGGACGATCTCTTGACCCTGGGAATGCCTGCCAGGGCCTGGTGGGGGTAGTCACCTTCAGTAGAGCAAAGGCCATTTTCATGGGGTAGAAACATAGAGTTGAGATCGACATCTTTGAACGGAGACACTGGGAGGTGCAAGAGGTCCGCACAAACGCTATGGTGAAATACAATGCAGTCGACACCGTGTGTGAACGTGTGGCAGGTTCCAGTGCAATAATGTATAGCTTGCTCAAAACGCCGGTCTATCACCACGCTGCTGTAGTGGTTCACAGTACTAACCACAAGTCTATAAGCTGCTGCCATAATATCCAATCCACCTGGTCCTGGGACGTTCAACCTTCTATATGTTTCAAGAAAACACTCTTCAATGACACTCAACTGAATATGAGCCTAATGGCAATGTTCAGTGATTGCTTGCAAATCTAAGGACTTTTCTCATGGAGAGAAATCACATACATTTGAGGTTTGATAATTATCAGTATACAGTAGCTGCTGCACATGTGTGCCTGTATCAGCAAGTCTAATAATTTAATAATTGTGCTATTTGGTTGTGTTTAGAAATATGACACTTGAAGATCATTTTTAGGAAAGATATCCTCTTGTAGTTCTTCGGTGCTTCGGTAACATGCACATTTGTTATTATAAATTTGTATCATCAATCTTAGCTGGTAGTCGAATGGCAGTGCTGTGATAATTGAGTCCTCCAGAGGTTTAAATGACCCATTTTTTTTCTGTGACTTAGAGCAACCTAGAATAAAAGAAGAAAATAATTCTTAATACGTTTTCTTAATACTAGAACTTTTATTTTTTTTTTCTTTAGATCTTCTTTGCAGTTAGTCATGGAGTCCAATTCCCTATCAGGCAACTAAGTGGTTATGCAGTACAGACTTGTGTTTGTCATATTCTGCATTTCTTATTTTTCTTTTTTTTTGTCGGTCATGGGGCTTGCACTCTGGGCCTGGGCGCTGTCCCTGCACTCTTCAGCTCAAGTTGAGCGCTCTACCACTTGAGCCACAGTGCCACATCCGGTTTTTCTGGTGGTTTATTGAAGAGTCTTATAGACTTTCCTGCCCTGTTGGCTTTGAACCCTGGTCCTCAGATTTCAGTCTCCTGAGTAGCTAGGATGACAGGCTTGAGCCACCGGTGCCTGGGCTTATTTAATTCTTTTAACATTTATTTATTTATTATCAGTTCTGGGGTTTAAACTCAGGGCCTGGTTGCTGTCTCTGAGCTTTTTTGCTCAAGGTTAATACTCTATCACTTTGAGCCACAGTGCTGTTTCCAGCTTTTTACTAGTTAATTGGAGGTAAGAGTTTTGTGGATAATCCTGCCCTCACTGTTGTTGAACTGCAACCCTCAAATCTCAGCCTCCCAGATAGCTAGGATTATAGGTGTGAGCCATCTTTAGTGGCTTTTACAACATGGTGCAGTATCTGTCCAAAAAGATTCTATCAATCAAGAAACAATGAATTCCCACTGCATGCCCTGCTCTGACTAATAGCTAAGGACACAGCAGTGAATAAAAGCAAAGTCTCTGTCCTTATGGAGCTGACAATCTCATTGGAAGAAGAAAAACAACATGCAAGTACATATAACTTATCAGATAATGATAGGCTATGGAGATAAATGAAGCAGGACAAGGATTTTGAAAGGATGGAGAGAGCTCACTGATATCTGACCAGAGACCTGAAAGAAGAGAGGGAGCAGGTCATGCAGTGATTCATCTTAGGCAGAGTAACCTTAAATGGGAAGGCCTGGAGGTGGGAGCATTCTTGATTTACCGGCAGAATGATGAAGACAGACTAAACTGATCAAAGCAGGGAAGGCAAAGAGCCCAGTGTAGAAGGTAAGGTCAGAAAGGAAGGTGGGCATCTAAACCATGCAGGGTCTGTAGAGTTCTATAATGAAGCTGACTTTAACTCCAAGCGAGCCAGGACACAACTGATGGCGTACTGAATTGAGGACTGACACGATCAGATTCACATTTTTCAACTGATGAATTTTGGATGCTGTGTTCCAAGATGTAAAAGACAAGCGGAGAAGCTGGGAAACAAAGTAGGCAGTATTGGAATGAGCCAGGCAAGAAGCTGGGGGCTTGAGGCAAGAGAGTTAACAGTGACATATTTAGATGCTGGACCTATTTTAGAGGAATAGCCAGCCTTGTGATTTACTGAAGAACAGAGGGTACACCACAGATGTATCAAGGATGGTGACTGAGAGATGCATGAACAGTGATTAAGGTAATCAGTGAAGGACATGTGACTTAGTAAGGGGGAAAAGTTTCATTCTGCAATCATATTACGGCTGGTACACAGAAACATAGTTGTCACTTGGCTAAATTCACTTATTGTAAATTGTTAATTCCTTGAGATTTTTCTACATACAGAATCAAGTTGTCTAAGAACAGACACAGTTCTGCTTTTTGCTTTCCAATCATACTGTCTTACTGCCTTCACTGAAGAGAAGAAGGAAGTTTATAAATCGTTGTCTTGTAACTGATATTGGGGAAAATGAAGTCAGTCTTTCACTATTACGGACGGTGAAAGTTAGAGGGGTTTCTGTAGATTTCATTTATCAGGCCGAGAAAACTCTCTTCTATTTTTCATTCTGTTGGAAGTTGTTTTGTTTTTTGTTTTGTGGTTTCAGGGCTTGAACTCTGGGCCTGGGCACTGTCCCTGAGCTCTTCAGCTCAAGGCTAGTGCTCTACCACTTGAGCCACAACACCACTCCCAGTTTTCTGGTGGTTAATTGGAGATAAGAGTCTCACAGATTTTCCTGCCCAGGCTGGTTTGGAATGGCGCTCCTCAGATCTCAGCCTCCTGAGTAGCTAGGATGACAGGAGAGGGCCTGGCCTGTTGGAAGTTTTAAAAATAAAATCTCTAAGGTATATTTAATTTTGCCAAATATTGAGATGATCATATAACTTTTATCCTTTATTTTGGCAGGGGTGAGAGAGCTGAACTTCAATGTTTAAAATGAATGAATTAGTCATTTCCGAAATATGGAAATAACAAAAGATATAGTAAAGAAAAAATTGACAAGGTGTCTCTAAGAAGTAGGCTTATGAATCAACACTTAAAAATCCTTTTGCAATTGACACTTTAAATACAAATTAAAGTTTGCAAATAATGTTTGTAACACATTTTAGAAATTAAAAATGGAGGCTGGGAAGGTGGCTCAGCAGTGGTAGAGTGCTTGTCTTGCATGCATGAAGCCCTGGGTTCGATTCCTCAGCATCACATAAACAGAAAAAGGCGGAAGTGGCGGTGTGGCTCAAGTGGTAGAGTGCTAGCCTTGAGCTGAAGAGCTGAGGGACAGCGCCCAGGCCCAGAGTTCAAGCCCCACAACTGACAACAACAACAAAAAAAAATTAAAAATGGGTTTTCGATAGATGGGGAGATGAGCCTGGGCTCTGATTAATTTTGTGCTAGGTTTGAGAGTCAAAGGTACAGCTTCAGGCAGGCTGGAGTCAAGGATGCACCTTCAGGCCTGGGTTCTTTCAGAGACCCAGGGAGAAGACGCTCCTCACTGGCAGCAGAGGGATAGGAGTTGGAAGATAAGGATTTTGGAGCATGCTAACTAGATGAAGGATTTCAGGCTACAAGAATAGATGAGAGGGCTGGGAAGGTGGCTCAGTGTAGAGTGCTAGCCTTGCATGCATGAGGTCCTGGGCTCAATTTCTCAGCAACACATAATCAGAAAAGGCCGGAAGTGGCGCTGTTGCTCAAGTGGTAGAACACTCGCCTGGAGCTGAAGAGCTGAGGGACAGCGCCCAGCCCCAGAGTTCAAGTCCCAAGACTGACCAAAAAAAAAAAAAAGAATAGATGAGACTGAACATGCATGGGGTGAGAAAAGAGCCAAGGAGTGGACCCTAAGGAAGACTTGGCCCATATGGAGCAAAAAAAGAGACAGAAAATAAATGGTCAAAGGGTAGTTAGACAGTCAAAATATTGTCACAGAATCCCAACGATGAGAGTGATTCATTCTTTGAACATGCTGAGTTTCACTGGTTTTGTGTACCAACAATCATGAGAGCTTTGCTTTATTTTTATGGGGTTTTCTACCCCTCATTTCATGGAGAAATTTAGGAAGTGAATAAAACTTCTAACAACACAAGTTCCACGATGGAAAACCCAGAAAGGTGTGATACAGATTTTTATACTGCTATTCATTAGCACCATTTCAGGAAACATCTGGAGCAGGGAGACAAGAGGCAAAGAAACTCTATTGTTTGTCTCAGCTGGAAAAAAGGCTTCAAGATGAGATGATGGATACTAGAGACAAGGGAGAATGAGCTGAATATCCAGGTCACTAGAGTGGACCATCTGAAGGCTCAGAGAAGAATATACTACAGGAGTGTTTTTTTTAATTTAATAGAGTACAGAAGGCATGATGATTCAGAAGTAATGAGTCATTTAAACATAATAAAACTACTGCTCTGCCTGGAAAACACAGGCAATCTTTGGTGGATGAGTCATTTTTGAAATGGCTTCCAAGAGAACCGTTTAGAGGAAATAAGAGACCAGGTCCACAGTGCTACTGGGGGGAATTAAAGAAAACGAGACTTGGGATATTTTCATCTCTGTGTTCAATTCAAGAAGAGTTGAGAAGATAAATTGAAAAAGGGAAATCTCATAAGGGAAGATTTTCTTACATTCAAAGGAATGGTATATGTAACTATGGAAGCAGGATACATGCTTTGAGTTTAGGGATAAAACTATGTCAGCAGCAGGCCTAACAGGAATTAGGAAGCCCATAAAACTTACTTTGATCGATATTCCAGTGGAGAAACAGGAAGTATGGCCGGGGGTGTTCCCTCAGGTAGGTAGGAAGGAGCAACTTGGCCAGCTTCTGCCTCTGCACTGACCAATCTGATAACCTGTAAGTCACTTCCCTGGGATTTCACCTTCTCTTCTGCAAAAACAGGATGAAAGATGGCTTTAGGGTCTAGAGAACAAAAGAAAAACAAAATTTCTGGTTGATTTTGGTTTGAACTAGGAAAATTTCAGTGTTCCTTATTTATATTTTATATAGAAAAATCATAAACTAGCTGTTCATTTTTATGTCTTTTGAGAGGTGCCACAGGCTCTCCTGGAACTCATGATCCTTCCTGCTCTAGCCTTCGGAATACTGGGATGACGGGCATTCGGTACCACACCTCTATTCATTTTAATTAATAATTATTTTTCTGTTGCTCGTGGGGCTTGAACAATGGGCCTGGGCGCTGTCCCTCGGCTCTTCAGCTCAAGGCCAGTGCTCTACCATTTGATCCACAATGCTACTTCTGGTTTTCTGGTGGTTTATGGGAGATAAAGAGTCTCACGGACTTTCTTTTCTGGGCTGGCTTTGAATTGCAATGCTCAGATCTCAGCCTCCTGAGTAGCTAGGACTACAGGCATGATGCCTGTTTTCTCTATTCATTTGAAATGTGTGTTATTTGCAAGTTCCAAGGGAAAAATTTGGGGCTAAACTTTTGCTACTTTGAAATAAAACCAAAAATATCTCAGGCTAGGGATATAACTTAAGTAGTAGAAAGCTTGCCCAGCATGTGTAGGGCTCTAGATTCAGTTCCTAGTACACGTACACGTACACGTACACACACACACACACACACACACACACACACACACACACACAACCAACAGTTGTCGCTGTCTGGCATTATCTCAACCTATGCATTTTCCTTTTCTATGTATTTTTCTTTTTTTGGAGATCCTAAAATAAAAGCACGAGAGAGAGAGAGAGAGAGAGAGAGAGAGAGAGAGAGAGAGAAGGAGGGAGGGGAGGGGGAAGAGGGACAGGGAGAGAAAGAGAGCGCCTTTTTTCCGACAAGGGCCACCTGGATATGTAGAACATCATTCAGGAGCCACAGAACGTTATTAATATAGACAGATGGCCAACAGGCAGCCAATGAGAATCATTTCTGTCTGTCTGGTCATGGACTTAATTATTTTGAAGGTCTTCCTCCCTCTATCCCTTCCATTTCCCCTTCATTTCCCATCTTTCTCTTGTCTCCATCCTTTCTTCCTTCCCCCCTTTCTTTATCTACCTACTTATTTTTTGTGGTTCATTGGTGATAAGTCTCATAGACTTTCCTGTCCAGGCTGGCTTCAAACCAGGATCCTCAGATCTCAGCCTCCTGAGTAGCTAGGATGACAGGTGTGAGCCACCAGCCCTAGGCCATTATCTAGTTAGTTTTGATGATACTGCAGTTGGAACTCAGACCTTGAGCTTGCTAGAGACGGGTGCACTACTACACAAGTCATACCTCTAGCTTTTTGTTTGTTTGTTTGAGTTTATTCTTCAGATAGCATCTGAACATTTTTCTACAGGCCAGCCTTGGTCTTTGATTCACCTCCATGTAGCTGGGATTACAAGCAAGAACCACCATGTCCATCTAGATTTTTGTTGTTGTTGTTGTTTTTTGAGATGGTAGTCCTGCTCAGTCTTTGCCCAAGCTGGCCTCAAAGCTAGATCTTCCTGTCTTCACCTCCTGTGTAACTACAAAATAGGTGTGCACCTATGTCTAGCCAAAAGATACATATTTTTTTAACATATGTATATATATTAAACACAATGTAATAAACATTTGAGTGCTACCACAGAGTACTCTTCAGGCGAGCAAGTTGAAGTTGTACGGTTTTATCTCATGCAGCTCCCAGTGTGGGCAGGGAGGGTAAGAGAATGCCTGGCCTTCAAGTCGAAGAGGGCATTCACAGGACGAGGACCAACAAGTCCAGTCCTGGAGTCTCACAGAGTTGGCGGCAGGAAATCAAGGCGGATGCTGGGTGAGCAAAAGGGAGGGAGGCGGAACGTGGTATGACATGTGTGGGAGCGCCGAGCTTGGTATTATCCAAGTGTCAAGTTGGCTTCCAGGAGCAAGAGCTGTGAAGGAGGTGGGGCATGGGCAGCACGGTAACAGAAGCCTTGGCTGAGAGGTTTCGATTGGGGGTGGGGGGGGGTGGAAGACAAGGTCAGATTTACTCTCTGAGCAATGCTGTGGTGGGCAGACTTAGGAAGCAAGGCAGAGCTAAGTCAATCAGGGGAAGGCCTCCGCAGGCCCCAGAGGGCGGCGGGAAAGGTTAAAATACGTCAGCTCAGTCTTAAGTGACTGACCCATGATCACAAAACTATGAACAGGAGACCTTCATCTTTAATTCCTGTGCCTTTCTTCATTCCTGTGAAATACAAATTCTGATCAAACCTTAAAAAAAAAGATTAAAAAAATTTTAAGTTGTTATTATAAAGGTGGTGTTTAGAGAAGAATTATTTTAAAAAAATAGTGCTTCGGAACAGACTTGGCTTTACTACTATTCTCATAACTCCTAAAAAGATCTTAATTTTCTTAAATTATGGATATATATTTAAAGAATATTAACTATTTTATATCAGCTATGTAAACATTCAAAGCATTGTAGAAAAAACGGCTTCTTATGACTTATCGGAATTTATGGGATTAAAAAAAATGAGACCAAAAAATAGTTCAGTTTATTCAATCGGTATTTCTTGAGCCCCTTTTGGGCTCTGATGGAGACTATAATGACTTTAGGAATTTTACAGTTTCCTTTTCTTTTCTGTGTAGGAGGGAAGAGAGAATATTCAGAACTAAGTGGCCAATCCTAGAGTTAAATAAATAGAAGCACAAGGTCAGGGGAAATTTGTTTGAATGGGGTAAAAGAAAAATCCCAAAGAGCCGGGTACTGGCTGTAATCCTAGCTAGCCTGTCATCCTAGCTACTCAGGAGGCTGAGATCTGAGGATCATAAAAACCAGAGTTCTGAGCCAGGTGCCAGTGGCTCATGCCTGTAATCCTAGTTACTCAGGAGGCTGAGATCTGAGGTTTGCAGTTCAAAGTCAGCCCTGGTAGGAAAGTCCATGAGACTCTTCTCTCCAATGAACCACCAGAAAACCAGAAGTGGTGCCGTGGCTCAAGTGGTAGAGAACTAGCCTTGAGCTGAGGGACAGCATCCAGGCCCAGAGTTCAAGCCCCACGACAAAAAAAAAAAAAAAAACAAAAACCACGCACACAAACAAAAAAACAACAACAAAAAAACAGAGTTCTGGGGGGAGGCTGGGAAGGGATGTGAAGGGTAAACAAAGGAGGAGGCTGCAATGCTTGGTAAGAAATGTACGCATTATCCTGTCCATGTAATTGTAACCCCTCTGTACAGTATGTTCACAAATAAAATTAAATAAAAAAAAAGAGTTCTGCTCTTTGGCTTTACTTAAACAACAGCTTGAATCATAAGAAAATAATGACTGAACGACAGAGACACGGAGTGAACAAAGATAATTCTATGAGACAGCATCTATATGAACATTTGTGTGAGTGTATATGTGTATATATGTACATACATATGTATTTGCGTAGAGATACTCACTAGGTAGTCTAGGCTAATCTTTAAGCCATGATCATCCTTATTCAGCTTCCTATGTGTTGGGATTACAAGTGTGTACCACCTCATCTACCTTGTAAACATCCTTTTTGGCTTTAAACACACAGACAGACAGACATGAGATTGTGTATACTCTTTAAAACAAAAGCGAAGCTCTAGCCTATTATTTATTTCCCTCACTTAATACAGAGATATTCCTTTCAGTGAAAGTAAAAATGGGTTAAACAACTTTATGCATTGTATGGGTATGCTGTATTAAATTTATTCATTAGATTCTCTACTAAGGTACACGGGCTGTGCATTAAGACGGAGAGAGAGAGTAAGCAGCAAGCGATAAGACTGATGCCAAGCTTGCGCCTGTCATCCGAGCTACTCAGGAGTCTGAAATCTGAGGATCACGGTTCAAAGCCAGCCCAGGCAGAAATGTTTGTGAGACTCTTATCTCCAATTAACCACTAGAAAAACGGAAGTGGCGCTGTGGCTCAAGTGGTAGAGCGTTGCCTTGAGCTGAAGAGCTGAGGGACAGCGCCCAGGTCCAGAGTTCAAGCCCCACTACCAAAAAAAAAAAAAAAGACTGATGTTGGCTGTGGCAGCATTTTGAATATCTAAAGGTGAAAAGAGGTAAGACATATGGAAGCTTATGAAATTTCAGTGCTCCAGACCCAGAATATCTGAATCTAGAAGTCTTTGTGGACAAAGAAGCCAAAAGGGAGGCAAACACACACACACACACACACACACACACACACACACACACACACACACACACACACACGAAAAGAAAAAGACTGTAACCCAGCACATGCTAAATATGAAGTCATTTCAAATCTTCACATCTGCAAAACAGATAGAATGTCATAGAAAGCACACAGATAACTAGAAACAGTGGGGTGGGTGGACTGCCTGTGGGAAATGGAATGCTGTTCTAATGATCATCTATAGCCACAGGGTTCTAAGGAAGTGACAGAGACTCCCAACTGTGCTCCAACAGAAGGTTCATAGAGTCTTTCTCGGAAGTTGCTAGGTGACTGTAAGACTCCTTTCCGGGTTCCACTTCCTAAATAAAGAGTTTGGGTGGGCTCAGTGGGGTACAAACTGTCTGTCTAGAGTTACCTTAGAAGCTGCAAATATTAGGCATTTCCCACAGTAACCAGAAAAACTCTACTTTGGGTGTATTTTTTTTTTTAAGATACTGGATTTTCAAAAAAGAGTTATACCGGGAAAAATAGTTCCTCAGGAAAAAAACACAGGTTAGAAAATAATATTTCTTCTTCAGTTCACCCATTATCACCAAGGGAAGTCATAATACAAGACTCGGAAAGTCACCACTATAGCACAATAGACAAGTTTAGTATCATCAATGATATATCAATCAGGCAAAATGTACTATATTAAGATTGTAGTATCTACACAATTTTCTTACTAAACAATCTTTGATAAGTAGAGAAATTCACAATACAGCACAGACTGATCTATAACACAATTGGCTTAATCTCTACAGTAAGTCTAGTATGACAGAAGTATGAGTAGATTGCAGAAAGTGGAAGAGGAA